GATGTCATTATATTGAATTTTATAGTACTAACGTAGAAAATTAACCCTTTGGTTACACTCCTATAATACTATCACGAGGCCATTGGAACTTTAGGCTACACATCTTAACTTGGAGGATTATAGAAAATGGTTTGGATGTTGGACTAAGAGGTCGAAATGAGTGACCCTGGACAAATGTGAAATGAATTTATAGCTAGAAAATTTTAGATAAAAAAAAAATGAATTTATACAATGCTAGAAAATTCTAGATTCAATCAAAGTATTCGAGCTCACTCAAAGTGTTTGTTTTCCGTGTATTTTTTTAAATCTAAAATTTTCTAGCAATGTACAAATTCGTAAGTTTTTCTACATCCTACATGTATTTGTAAAATTTAAACAATGTTTATAAATCCCAGGCACTGAAGATGATCTCAATAAAGTTCGACACGTTGGCAGGATAAAGAAAACGTTTTTCTAAAACCTACGTCACACCAGACCGCATCTCACGATCTCCGAATAATTGACTAACGGTCACTAAACACCACACATAAAGAAAATTATCTACAATTTAAAATAAATAAATTATAAATAAATGCTTGGTAAACAAGTGAATATTTTTTTAAATTAATTAATATTTATGATAGGTATTGGTTGAGATAAAAAAGTCAGTGTCACGAGCGGGATTCGAACCCATGACCTTCGGCTAAATACGCCGCTGCTCTACCACTTGAGCTATCGTGACTTGATCCGCTCGGACACCAACGACCCATCTCAACCTCACCTCTCGAATTTTCCCTCCTTTTTGTCATTTTCCAAGTCACGATAGCTCAAGTGGTAGAGTAGCGGCGTATTTAGCCGAAGGTCGTGGGTTCGAATCCTGCTCGTGACAGTGACTTTTTTATCTCAACCAATACCTTTCATAAATATTAATTAATTGAAAAATGTTAATTGGTCAATCGGACCACGGACTGTAATGGATTCAAGTGAATAATGTATCACTCCCTGTGTAAAATTAAAAACCCAGAGTACTTTTATCACATAACGTTAGGATGTGATATCGGAGAACCACATGTGATAAATTTACCATGTTGTGATTGCACTACGTTAATCTACGTTAGATGAATCATGAAAAGTTTGAGTAAGAAAATATCTAGCAATACCGATGTCAAATTCTTTTTTATAGGTTTACTTTTGAAAATACATATTGCTTTTTGAAAATTTTAAATAAAATAATTCTAGTGAATTGAAAAGTGGGTCTTTCTATGTTGAACGCAAAATTGAAAACAGGTTTACTGATCATTGTTTTATATATACATATATCATTTATGACCAGTTGGCATTATAACAATTTTCTGCCATTTCTGAAATGAATAAATAGAAATAATTTCGGCCTGTATTGTGGGGTTAAAATAATGTAACACTATTTAAGGATCCCAGCCTTGTAAATTGTTATTGTTTAACACGGCCCTCTTCTCCGTTCCTTTTTATAGCTATAGTATATTGCAGTCGGCCGGAAAAACGCACTTCGTTTTTCAGACTAAACACGAGATGTCAATCAACTACATAGCTCATCAAGCACGATTTTCCAGCGTAACCGGTCTATTTATAAACAATCACGACTACATTAGAGCCGGCCGAGAGGTGGCCAAATAACATGAAATTAAGCCCGGGTCGGGCCTATAATTAAAATTAAAACGAAAGACCGGGAGAAAACACTCCTGGAGCTAATGCAGTCCAAAAGTGAGTCTGTCAAATTACATGCAAATGGGGTGAATGGGATATAAGGACCAAGGGAGGGATCAGCTAGGTTGCGCGCTATTTCTTCGAAAAATACTAATTAGTGTTTTATTAGTATTATTATTAGTATTATTATGTATGATTATAAGGAAAAAATTGGAGAAAATTCTAGAGAAAAATCAACACATATTAATTCCTTCGAAATTTTTTCTTAAATTAGTAATATTTATTGCAATCTATAATCTTTTAGTGAGTTGAATTGACAAATGACATGGGTCATGTGTCGTGATGGGAATTAACAACCCATATTGTTCTCCAAACTATATGCGAGGACTAATCCTCGGTTAGTAGGTCGCGAGGCCATCTCATCCTCAGTCGTCTGTTGGAATGATGAGGGCTGTTTTTATTGGATAAGGATTTAGCAACTCGTTTGGGGTGAGAGTAGAGTTTATTGTGGAAAGTGGGAAATGTTTTGGCAATTATTTTTTGCAAGGGATTTTGAGGTCATTGAGAAGGGTATGGTTTCATGGACATTGAGCGTTCTTAGGATTTTGGATCAACTGTATTATTTGGATGTCGTTAGGTTTTGCGGTGCCTCAAAGGTCTACTCCTTATTTATTGCTTTTAGTATTGTCTTGTGTAGATTGTCAGTTTATTTTTGTTGAAACATTAGATTTGCGTGACAGTAGTCCGAAACGTTTGATTAATGTCTTACGTTTTAGTCATATTAGTTAGTTCCAGGTTAGTCATGAGCCTGGACAGCACACAAAGTGCGCAGTATGTTTCGGGATGGGAGTATTATTGAGGAATGAGTGGTTTTGCTCCGAAGAGGGAAAATAACATGGTGCTTTTGCTTTATACGCCAGTGTTTGCTCCATTCCTGGCGCTCTTCCAAAACAATTGATCGGGATCAGAGGATGGCACGGCTGAATCGTTGGAAAAGGATGTAATGATGGTGGTGGCTGAAGTTTGAAAATCTAAGGTGTAGAGGAAATCCAAGTATACTGCGCTGAGGTACTCCCGCTCCCAGAAGAAATAAGGGGTATTCATGATCTTTTGTGTTAACCCTGTTAACTCTGTTAGGTCGTGTTAGATCGAGAAAAATGATGACGTAGACTTATAAAAATCGCCTAGTTAACATTGCTCGATCTAACAGCCAGAGCCAGTGTTACGTGTTAGGATGTTGATTAGGACTCGGGTTGTGGTCTTCAAATATTATATCAACGCCCAAGCTTTCGACAAGTTTTATTGTCTTCTTCAGGGACATAGAATATCTATAGAGACATAGGGACATATTCAGGTAGGTAGTTATAAATTATTTCATCAATTTGTGCTAATTTCAGATACGAAGTCGAACTTAAACACATTAAATTCACTAATTTCGTGGTCCGCTTGACCAATTAATATATTACAATTGATTAAATAATGCTGCTCTACCACTTGAGCTATCGTGACCACTTTCCCTCCTTTTTGTCATTTTTTTTGTTGGTTGTGATGGGAGTGTCCGAGTGGATCGAGGTCACGATAGCTCAAGTGGTAGAGCAACGGCGTATCTAGCCGAAGATCGTGGGTTCGAATCCCGCTCGTGCCATTGACATTTTTATCTCAACTAAAAACCTTAATTAACTTAAACANAAGGTTAGGTGTTAGTTCGGAAATGTAGTCACATTGCTGTCCGTTAGGGCGTAGGTAACCAACATGGCAGCCATAGATTTAAGAGCTGTTCTTTTGTTTGCACGTATTTTTATTCTTAAATAGGCATTAATTAAATCAGACCGATACATTTCTTTTTTTCATTTCTGACCTGTCCTTATACTCATACTTACCTTATACTCCTACTGGAGATTTCTCTATTTGAATTAACATCTTACAAACATCGTGAATACCCCTATAATCGGAGTAGGTCGATCCTTGGCGACTCTGAAGAATTGTTCGATATTAGAGTTGGTTAAATATAAATTAAATAAATACTTAGTCATGTACATTTTTTATTTCGTCAAATTGTGTAGACGTTTTATTCTAATATTCACATATTTCAAAGTAAAAGTTTTGACTTACCTTTAAACATCGGGTCAGTCTAATTTTATTACATAAAAAGTAAACTGTCCATATCAGTTGGTACTGATTAATTTTAACAAAACTAAGATTCTATCTGGTTTCTTTGTATTACATATAATGTATGGTGTTTAGTGACCGTTACTTTATGAATATTTGGAGATCGTGAGATGAGGTCTGGTGTGACGTAGGTTTTAGAAAAACATTTTCTTTATCGTGCCAACGTTTCTTTCTTTATTGAGATCATCTTCAGGGCACAAAGTGTTTGTTTTCCGTGTAGATGTGACATTCTTGTCTGTCTTGAGTGTCCCCACGACAGACAAGAATGACACATCTACACGAAAAACAAACACTTTAAGCCCTGAAGATGATCTCAATAAAGATCGAAACGTTGGCACGATAAAGAAAATGTTTTTCTAAAACCTACGTCACCAGACCGCATCTCACGACCTCCAAATAATCATTACATATAATATAAATACGCTTTACATATCGCATAAATTAAATTCGAAATGTATAACACATTGCTGATCTGGCCATGAACACAGAAAGCTCAGCAATTTGCATAATACAAATACCAACAACTAGATGTATTTGTATTTATGAAATAACTCAGTAGCTATCATAAAAACAACATGGTCATTTTGTACGTTAAAATAAATTATCTAGGTATGTCAAACATTTTTGCTACTACTGAATGTCCGAGGAAATGTCGACTTGCCCTTACACAACGAAGAGGTTGTCTGATTAACGTAATCCTTTCAGCGATCTCATTTATAAAAGTGTTCAGAAGCTCTACTTAAACCACGATAAATCGTATATTAGTAGAATCACATTGTTTCTTTGAGTTTTACACCGCTTTTTTATTGGAGTTGTTAAAACAATTTAAACAGTTTAAAAAGAAAATCAGTTATCTTCTGTTTTAGACACAAATCGACAGAGGAGGAATGTAGAAGATTTGACGCGGTGTATCTGAGATCCGTTGATTGGCAAGTGTTTTTTTTAAATATTGGTACTTTACGCTATTTAAGTTAATATAATTTCTTTTAATTTTATATTAATAAGTTCAGGAATTCTACAGAAACATTCTTAATTTATGATCCATCTAGGGAAGTAATTATATTATTAAACAAAATTGTACTTTTAACTAGGAATAAAACAGTTATTAATGCAATTAATTTTAATATATTTCAAGTAATTTTCATGTCTAATAATTTTTTATGTGGTGAAATTTTGTTCTTGAGAGGAGTGATCATGTTCGGTTGTACCCGATCATCATCCGACCACAGCTTGATCCGTCTGTAAGTTCCGTACCTGTAAGAGTCATAAAAAAGAAATATCTTTTTATTATATATTTTGTTATAAAATTCAAGATTTCACACAGACCAATTGCGAAAGATCAAAACAGCGAAGGTAGACCGAATAGATCCGACCTAGGATGATTGGAAATGACCAAACTGCAAATTTTTAAATTTCATAGATAAATATATGTGTAAGATTTATTGAAACTGAAGCGCAAATTTTCTTATATGACTGGGTGCTTCGATTGAAAATTTAGCAACAGAGATAAGATCTTAAAAAGACAGAGAGCATCATGGCGAACTTCGGTATATTGAAGAGGTTCTGCAGTAATCCGCAGAATCAAACCCAGTCAAACTATTCGCGTACATACCAGGAGATATGGACTACAAAAAAGAAACTGTTAGTCACCATCCACACGACATGGGATTCGAAAAAGATCGGTATACTCACGACCCAACAGTCATATGAAATGGTAGAAACTTAAAATCTTCTAAAAACCCATGTGAATAAAAGGTTGTCACGTGATAAAAATTGTGGTTACTTGGGATGTCCTAACGCTCATCAAAAGTGGCTAGAAGATTGCAGACAAACAACTTTTCCAGTTTCTCCAAGGGGTTAATGTGAAAAAATCCATACTGCGCATTTTTTGGATCTAAAAAAGAGTTCTTAGCAATTTTTGTCCTGATTAATGTTTTATAAACTATGAACGCTACAGCAAATAGAAAGGTACTCGAAATAGTTGCAGCATTAACTAATTTTCGTTAGGATAGGGAAGATTCTTCGAAAGTGGAAGGTTGGTGTTTTCAAAGCATTGCAGTCTTGTCGCTTATTGTGCTTTTCCTAATTTCTTAGTTCAGTTTAATTGAGTCGATTCCATCTTTTAAGAAGGAGAAGATCATTGTCTCTTATTACTTCAATTCTTTTCCGTGGGTCTTCCGACCCTAGGTCACCATAGTTTGATTTCTACTTCTTTCTTCTCGTTTATTGTCAAGATTTCTTATGGCGAAGATTATTCTAGTTTATTTCTGTGGTTATACCACCAATCTCTATTACCAAATGGGTGTCTGTTTATATTTGTTATAATTGGACCACTTTGTCGGTTTCGAACTCCCAACAATTTATTTGTTTTCTGAAATCTGTACAATTTTTGTCAAGTTTCTCCTTGGATGTATGGATAATTATTAATGTTAGTTAATGTTTCTATGGCACTTGATGGAGTTGTCATTGCCCCCGACGCAGATTCGCCGGTTTATGCATGGTGCATAATTTCTTCGGTAGCTTATTTATGTTGAGCTTTGATCCGATGTATTATTGCGAGATAAAATGGCTTAACACAGCTGTGTGTGTCTGTTCTTCTTGTAGCCATTAAAGATGATTTACTTTTGTTTATAGTGTATTGTAGGTGAGGGTTCAATATTAGTTTCTTTATCAAACTCCTAAATATTCAACTCTCGTTTTTCATCTACAACACTTCAATCTATAGATATAGATCTATTTTCATAGGTTTCTTTTCTTGCTAAATAAAATAGGTGTGGTACTATCTTTGGATAATAGTAAAGGTGTTGCTCAAGAAGTAGCTGGACCACACACTTTCCGGACCAAGAAATTTTTTAAAGAATTTCAAGGAACCAAATTTCTTTCACACCGTACAGTTCAGACCTTGTTCCGTCAGATTATTACTTGGCTTAGATCCATGATCCACTCAAGGGAAAAATTAATTATTTATTTTAAAAAAATAGTTGTGGAAGAATTGCTCGTGTCTTCCTGGAGATCGTGTAACTGACTGAAAGTAGGCTAATTGCAATAGAACTCAGTGAGCTGTATCTTAAATATTAATTTTATTTCTAACTTTTTCGTTATTTTATCAGCTTATGCTTAATTATATAAATACTCAATTAATTATACACATTTTTTCGAAATGGAAAATTTGTGTCACAGGCGGGATTCGAACCCACGACTTTCGGTTAAATACGCCGCTGCTCTACCACTTGAGCTACTGTGACGATCGCTCATGCCACAAACTTCTCATTTCGACTCCCCGTTTTATTCCAATTGTAAGGAAATCGCGGCTTCATATAGAAACACTTTTTATTAACGATTGTACTACAATAGCGGGACTGTGTACGATTCACAGGTGTGATTCTAGATTAATACTAATAATTAATACTAATTTTTAGTACATTACAACTTCTTTCAATTAAGTAACAATGATCAAGGTAACATATAAATTAATTAATCTTTTTATGTAAGGTTTAGGTTGAAAAGAAAAAGCTAGTGCCAGCTCTACCTCTTGAGCTATCGTGACTTCGTTCCACTCGGACACCAACTCCCAATCTCAACCTACAACCTTTCGAATTTTCCCTCCTTTTCGCCATTTTTCAAAAATCGAATTCGAAAGGTTGTAGGTTGAGATGGAGAGTTGGTGTCCGAGTGGATCCAAGTCTCGATAGCTCAAGTACATTACATAGAAAGAATAATTATTGCAAAATCTCACACTGTTCTGTGTGTTCTGCAAAGGTGACTTCTTCAGATCCAACCTGTTCACTTTTAATTGTACTTATTTCAAGTAATTATTCTTTTTATGTAAGGTCTTGGTTGAGATGAAAAAATAAGTGACACGAGCGAGATTTAAAGCTCAAGGAAGTCGCGATAGCTTGAAGTGGTACAGCAGCTGCGTATTGAGCCGAAGGTCGTGGGTTCGAATCCCGCTCGTGACACTATCTTTTCCTCAACCAAAACCTTACATAAAAAGGTTAATTAATTGAAAGAAGTAATTTGGTCAATATAATGGATGTAATATATAAAAATTAAAAACAAGTGGAAAAAATACCCGTTGGTATTACTCCAATTTTACTATAATATTGTCTATTTAATTGATACTAGTGCTATTATCACTTTCACTATCATCACCATCACATCCTAGGAGATCTCGCCGTCATTGTCTCTTCAGTAGGCGAGGATTAAAAAGGCAATGAAATATGGTTTGTACCATGTGTTTAAAAAAAACTAGGTTGTAACTTGAACTAAATTTGGGTGCATTTCTCCTCGTTCAGTTACATCTTCTATGTTTTGCACCGTTCTTCAATTAGCTTCAAGATGCCATTAAATATTGGACGTAGCTTTGTTAGGAAGAAAATTCCCTAGGTTTAAGGCTGTTGTTGGGATCAAGTCAGCAGCATAAATCGTATATAGGATGGGACCAAGGCATAAAATTTATACATATTGATATAAACTTTTTAATTATTTTATCAGCTCATGCTTATTTATATAAATACTCAATTAAGCATAAACATAAAATAATTAAAAAGTCGTAGTAATATCGAAGTCACGATGGCTCAAGTTGTAGTGCAGCGGGGTATTTAGCCGAAAGTCGTGGGTTCGAATCCCGCCAGTGACACAACTTTCATTTCGAAAAAATTGTGTATAATTAATTGAGTATTAATTTTATTATATATGAAAGGAAGAAAATTAATTTTTTCCAACAGCTCCATGTAAAACTTCAATCGTTTATAATTTGTGTTTAAAGATCCGGCCAATGTCGTGTATTTTTAAACGTATTTGAAACTGTTTAGTCTTTATTTTAAAAGACACTCAGGTGCTTATTAACGGGCGGCTTTACTTCCGATGATTCTTTAAAATTTCAAACGTGTAAACAAAAAAAGGGCAAGAAGCCAAGTTAGTGTTTATACAAGTACGGCCCCTTAAGTCTAGCCCCATGCTGCTACTTAATACTTAGTGGAATCGTGTTAACCGCTGTTCAAGGGTGTTCGACAAAGGGAAGGGTTCTTGGAGAACGGCACTGCAGGAGAGGGATTGAGTGAGATGAGAGGGATAAGTAGACGAAGCGAAGAAGGGAAAAGGAAAACAAATAGTGGAGGGGTAGTGATGACAGGGCCACCCACGGAAGACCATTGTCTCAACACTTAATAGCCCGTCCTGAGATCTACCTCTTCTCTCCGACGGGCCGCCAATACCGACTACAAGATAATTGCGGAATGACATCCGCCCTCATTAAACACCCGACATAAATTACGAAAGGCCTTAAATAATGTTAGGAGGGAGAGATATATATTTACAGGACGGTCATTAAAGGCGGCCGAAACCTTTTTCCCTTTCTCCTATACCTTCTCCCTACCTTTTTTCGCTGGAAACCGCTGAATTAGAGGGCTTCACGACAGGTGGTCCAGCCTTGTTAACATCATCATCAAAGAATGAGCGAAAGGGCATTGTCTCTCTCTACGTGGGCTATGACCGGAAGTGGGGACAGGTAAAGCCGCCTAATGGAATATACGTGTTCTTCTCCAGTATTGCTGGAATGCACCCCCTCGATAACAGGACCTCCCAGAACGACTCCCGACCCGAGAAATTGCTCTAATTGTCCCGTAATTTTCGAGTGATTCTCCCGACGGCGGTAATTGGGCTTCGGATTCTCATTACTTTTCTTCTAGGTCGCCTCCATTAATTACAAACAGCCGGAATAAAACCGTTTTCCAGCCTATTTATAATCTAAACTCGCAAACTCTTGCGATGATCACTATCGATTTATTTTCCAGGCTTAAATTAATTTATTTTTAAGGTAGAATATGTGCCAGCAGCGATTCTGGGTTCGAATCCTGGCACAGCTCTTGAAATTTTAATTTATAAATGACAATAACGGATGATAACCTCTCCTGTATGACAAGAAGTACCTACTACTTTACTAGTAATTTACTAGTAAGTTACTGCCCTGTATGGCTCCGCGACACCCAATGGATAGTTGGGCGTTAAGTCCTCCTGCATGACACTTTACTTATTTGGAAATTTTATTATTTCAAACTACAGTAAATTAATTATTATTTATGAACAAAGATATTTATCATTTGATAAATGAAGAATACTAAAACAAAACTTTTCCTTCAAATCGCAGACAATCGGTGTGTTTGTGTGTGTTTAATATATATTTTATATCCATGATATTTCGTGGTCTATTGACCAAATTACTTCTTTCAATTAATTAACCATTTTATGTGAGGTTTTTGGTTGAAATGAAAAAACTAGTGTCACGAGTGAGATTCGAACCCACGATCTTCGGCTAAATACGCCGCTGCTCTACCATTTGAGCTATCGTCACTTCGATCTACTCGGACACCAACTCCCCATCTCAACCTACAATCTTTCGAATTTTCCCTCCTGATTACACGACATTTGAAAAATGCCAAAAAGGAGAGAAAATTCGGAAGGATTTAGGTTGAGATGGGGAGTGGTGTCCGAGTCATGATGGTTCAAGTGGTTAGAGCAGCGGCGTTTTGAGTCGAGGGTCGTGGGTTCGAATCCCGCTCGTGACACCAGCTTTTTCATTTCAACAAAAAACCTTGCATAAAAAGATAAATATATTTTATAGTTTATTATGTTTTTAAATTTATACTACACAAAATCAACAGCAAGCATGAGATACTCTGAATGTTCTTGTTTGTTATTCTTTTTAAATTTCGTTTATTTGTTGGCCTATCTCTAATATGTACGTGAGAAAAATTGACATTTATTATTTTTATATTAGCAATAATAATCCAAACACCAAACTAGGATGCAGAAAGAAAGAAAAAACAGGGGAAGAATAATTAATTATTTAAAAAAACCATCAGTGGTATCCGCTTTATTACTTTTTTATTATGTTCATTTAGACGTTTAACATCTATTTCTTATCTATTCTTTACCAAAGGCGTGTTTTTGAAGGAATTATTTAACGAGTGATCTTAAAATTCACAGTGAGAAAACTAAGCTGTAAATCTCAACCACTTGAATATTTTGAAAGATTAAATTTAATGATTACTCTAAGCATTATCAAAAATAATTGAAAAATCAGTACAAAAAACACACTAGGTGTCAAAAAGGATGCGAGAAACTTGAAAATAGTAGTACTTCTTCAAATTTGAATTATAGATGGATTTTTCGCCCTTAAGGGAAACAGAAAAATGGTAGATAAATTTTGTTGACGTTTTATTGAATTCGGTTATTAGTCCAAAAGTTGTTTCGTTAAAAAAAAATTGAGATTTAACCATAAACAGACTGAAGTCAATGAAGCATTAAATAAGCTAAAACCCATTTAAAGTCCAGAGAAATGTTTTTTCCACAGGAAAAAAGTCAGAGGCACAGGGGGAAGTTGACAAAACTTTTCGTAATATATTAAGAGTAGGGAAACATCTAACTGATCCTAATAGATAGTCCTGAGTAGGAAATAGGTGAATAAAGGTTTTAGGCGGACCTTAAAAGCTGAACACTACGTAATCCCGTTCCACACTAATCCGGCTTTACCCAAATGTCTATTTTGTTTGAAATGTTTTTTTTTTTTTTGTTATTTTTCTATTCTAAAATTAGAGAAAGAAAAAGCGACGGGATTTCTTTGATCAAGGTTTCCGTGTGGATAAACTAAAGAGTATGACAAAGAGTATATACATGTACTATTTTACTATGTACTTATTAATATTACTTCTATGTTTAATAGATGAGATGAATATGCAAGCAAAAAGTTGATAGTGACAACAAACAATGACATGGTCTGATAAACCGACCAAAAATACAAAGCATTTTAAAGTTGTTACAACTACAATTTAAATTTTCTTACAGTATACAAAGACACACAATAGTTATTAAATAAGTATTAATTGGACGATTCAAGAACAAGGATGATGAATTTGTAGTTTGGTTATTGACAACCTGATCTGCGATTTCACGCTGTTTTGGACTGTCAGGCTTACCTTAAGCGGTCGGCATATGAGGATGGTGAATGAGGGACCTCTAGTTTGGTAGTTTTTGAATATCCTGGCCCACGATTTCTCGCTGTTTTGCTATGCCAGGCTTCAGCGGTGTGTGAAGTGTCTGATGCAAGGGTAAAAAGACAACTTACATAGCACTAATCCGAGTTTCGTGAGATTTCTCAATAATGTCATGCACCAAGGATGATGAACGCCTAGTCTGGTCTTTTCTGAACATCCTTGTACAGTAGATCTCGAGTGTAACCGTCTTGGTGAATTTTTCTGGCGCATAAATAGGATGATCCGAGATTTCGTGAGATTTCACCTTGAGGTCCTTAATCAATGAAAATGAAGCTGTTATTTTATCGTTTGTTCGTCTTACAAGAGGACGACCAGGTTGGTGTGTCACGGATTTGGACCAAACTTTTTTTCGTGATTCTTCCAAAATATTGGACACGTATCCGCTTCTTTGTGAATAAGCCTTGGTTCAAAAAAATTTGAAAGTTGAAATTGTCCGTTTTTTAATATTTTTATTTCGCCGTTCTGCTTACTCAAATCAGCTATGTGATTTACAGCATTTTTTTATGTAGATTACAATAAAAATATAGTAAAAAGTATAAAAGTTTATCATTAACCAAAAAATTTCAAAAACCAAATATTTTTCAAGTAAACTAGGTCATAAATTTTTTTCGTGAAACTAATAAAACTTCGTTTTAGAACCGCTGGACTCCTAATATAAATTTTTGTTTGAATTTAAGTTTATCAATTTTTTGACCCCCTAAAATTTTTCCCATTTTTAAGAAATCGTTCTCGGAATTGATTGAAACAGTTATAATTCAAAAACGGCTTAAAAGATTTTAGCAATTTGAAACAAGGAAAATGTAGCTACGTATGTGCCATGAAAATAAACAAAAAATTTCTATAAGAAAATATATAAAATTAAAAAAATATTTTTGTCTGAAATTAATCTCGTTTTTTCAGTGGAAATAATAGTCCGATTTTAATGTTTGTCACAGTTTTAAAATACACTTAACACTTTATTTAAAACGACCATCATCAACTATGACAATCGGTCTCCTAGGTAATTGAGAAAAATGCTTGCTCTAAGAATGTCAACCGAAATTAACAGTCAAAAAATTAATATACACCGATTTCGCTAAAGTCGGTATCTAAGGGTTTTATAACGCTAGAATTACGACACTGAGGTAAAATTCAAAGTTTTTTTGACTATTTTCTGACCTACAGAATTACCTTACAGAATGATTATTAAAATACGTAAACAAAACGCAGTATTTGGTCGATTTTTCTTTTTAATTCATACCAAATTAGAATATTTGCGTCATAGAACATTTTTGTTTTTATCTTAACCAACAATTAAATTAATACACCAAAAATAATAGTTTTTTAATCTATAAATAACGATTTATGATAATTTAATTGGATTTTTTTATACTTATAATTTTTACTAACATTTTGATTTATACAATATAAAAATAAATAAAACAATTCGTTCAGAATTATATTTGGGCCCTCCTGTTTCAAAATTAACGAATATGAATTTTGTTGAGAATGTGTTAGAGTTTTTTGCTGATCACCGTCCATTATAATAAATTTAAAAAAGAATGAATTAATAATGGGTAAAAAACAAATGAACAAAATTTAAAATGTTATAATTAAAATTAAAAATAGAAAAATTAAATAGACTTATCAACTTAATCGGGTTAATGAAGCTTTTTCTAATCTAATTTTAGTTGCAATTAAATGTTCATCAATCGTTATTTAGAGATTAAAAAAATATTATTTTTGGGGTATTAATTTCATTGTTGATTAAGATAAAAACAAACATGGTTTCTGACGAGGCCAAAAATTCGATCAATTTAAATTCAAGCAAAAACTTATACTTAGGGGTGTCTAGAGGTGCTAAAACGAAATTTTATATTAGGTGATTAGTGACCGTTAATCGATAATGATTCAGAAATCGTGAGATGCGGTTTGGTGTGATGTAGGTTTCAGAAAAGAATTTTCTTTATCGTGCCAACGTTTCCCAGGCCCTGAAGATGATCTCAATAAAGATCGAAACGTTGGCACGATAAAGAAAATGTTTTTCTGAAACCTACATCACACCAGACCGCATCTCACGATTTCTAAATAATTTTATATTAGTTTCACACAAAAAATTTATGACCTAATTTACTTGAAAAAATTTAGTTTTTTTAAATTGTTTGGTTATTGATAAACTTTGATAGCTTTCACTATATTTTTTATTGCAATCTAAATAAAAAATGCTACAAAATGATATGTTCATTTAGCTGATTTGATTAAGCAGAAGGACGAAATAAAAATATTTTTAAAAAACGACAATTTCAACTTTCAAAATTTTTAAAGGCGAAACCAGGGCCTATTTACAAGAAGTGGCGGATACGTGTCCAATATTTTGGATTGTAGAATCAACAAAAAAGTTTGGTCCAAATCCGTGCTATCCAACCTGGTCACCTTTGTTAGATTTATCTTCGTTGTTTTCATCTGTCAGACAATTCAATCTTCGGCACGTAAAGATGTCTGAGCGAGAATAGTATAATTATATTTTATGGCTTAACATATACGTATATACAACCATACAGTAAGCAATAATATTCCATAGTCCTTTATTATTATAATGCTATACAATAATGGAAAATAAAAAACAGCCTCTGGATGGTGGGAACTTTCTTAAGAAGGCAAGCGTCAAGAGTTATCTAAGCAAGGTGTAACTGGTGTATAACTAGTTCTTTCTTTTTCACTAATGAATAAGACCTAATATCATAACCCGGTTTAAAACTAAGTTGTCCATTATGACGAATATTCGACGCTGAATGATAGGACAGCATTCTAGGTTTGAAAAATATTGTTCATTGAACTTTTTGTTTCAGGTAGTAGAGAAGCGTGCTCAAATGAAGGCGAACTCGTCAACGTCGAATCGATTAAGGATATAAGATGTTTCACGTGTATGTGTAAGGTGAGTTGCACCGTTTACTTTTCTTTATCGTTAACCTCATGTCGCGATCTAAACGGCTTGTAACGGATTAGCCATTGGAACGTCGAATGCAGATAACGTTGAATGAACGTTGTTATCTTCCGAAGTTGGACGGTTGTACTTGCCGTTAGCGTCGGCCTCAACCTATTTCAGCCGGGTTGGCCGTGTCACCGCCAGGCACCGCTATGCCGCAACCGGTTCAGCCACTCGCATTTTTTGGTATGGTTTTTCTCTATTTTTCTCTTCTCGGCTCGTTACCCCTGTCATTACAGAAGAACGGCCACCAGAGAGGAAGTGTCGGCCGTTTTCGACCTGGACGCGCTCGTACTGGTCAATTCGCACTGCCGTCATCCCTTGTTCGAAGGGTGAGAGGAGTTCGCCCGCGAAGACCTTGACCATCAGCTTTCCAAGGTCAATACCGGCAACCTGTTCCACTTTTACGCCTGCCCTAATGTAACACTTAAAAAAATATTTTCGCATGTAAATATTCAACTTCGTTTTACTCTAATGTTAAGTAGACAACATCATAGACCTGATATTGTTATGCTGTAATGGCTGTTGTACAAAAAGTCTTTGCGAAAATCCTTGCCCAAGAAACATAACTCTCCACGATTCGTGAGGACTCTTCACAGGAGAAATATTACTTTTTCATACAGAAAATATGTCATTTGAAATTGAGAATTGAAAATATGTCATAAATGTTTGCACTAATAACTTTCTTACCTCCTCCAACATTCTAGATTTGATCCTTTGGATTTCGTGTTCCGATTGACCAAATAAATTCCTTCAATTAATTAATCTTTTTATGAAAGGTTTTGGTTGAAATGAAAAAGCTAGTTAAAAAGAGAAGAAGAAAGAAGAAAAAGCCAATGTCACGAGCGTGATTCGAAACCACGATCTTCGGGTAAATACGTGCTGCCTACCACTTGAGCTATCTTGACTTCGATCCTATCTTCCCATCTCAACCCCACCTTTCGAATTGTCAAAAATGGCAAAAAAGAAAGAAAATTCGAAAGGGGGGTTGAAATGGGAAATGGGTTTCCGAGTGGATCGAAGTCAGGATAGCTCAAGTGGTAGAGCAGCGACGTATTTACCCGAAGGTCGTGGGTTCGAATCACGCTCGTGACACTGGCCTTTTTATCCCAACCAATACCTTACATAAAGATTAATTAATTGAAAGAATTCTAGATTGTTTGAAGGATCAGAAGGAGGACCTCAAACAAATTATAAATCATACGTCGATCCAAATTAATTAATTGGGTATTATAGAGTTGGATATTTTTGTAGCTAGTGATACTATTGTACTTTCATAAAGCAAGACAAGAAAGCAAAACTGTCTGAGTTTGCACGATGATGAATCAGGTTGGTCCTATTTTAATTTCTCACTGGTTCTGTTTGTCATATGCGTATGACATTATCATTTAGCCAGCCCAGTCTGTACTCGTAGTGACCACAAAAATCTGCGCTGTTGAATCTTTAGTCTGGTCTTATCCGATCATCCAGGTTGTCCAAATTTATAGTCGTAGTAACTATCAAAAAAGGTTTCGTAAGAAATATTTCCACCGTTGTATTTGATCAGTTTAGTTCATCTATCCTCACTGTTAGGTATGTCCGAACGTTTCGACCTTTCGCTATCATCAGTGGTGGGCTAGTAATAATAAAGATACGTTTTTTTACAATATTTTTTTCAACCTAAGATTTAACTTAAGTTGTGATAGACCAAACAGCGAGAAATAACCGACCACGATCACAGACAACTAAAATAAACATATCTGTTTCGCTTGTTTAAATATTAGCAAAAACCAAAACCCTCACCATAAGTATTTGAATGATAAAAAATATAAATCTCAAAAACTTAAACTCTTCCATTGTTAATGCCTAATGTTCTCGTACACAATTGAAGGATACCTTGGTCTATTATGGTGAATGAGAAATATGCCTCTTCTATCGTATATTTTAAATTTGTTTGAATGAAGAACGTTTATTAAACTTAATGTATAATGTGTGGTGATTAGTGACCGTTAATCGAGAATTATACAGAAATCGTGAGATGCGGTCTGGTGTGACGTAGGTTTCAGAAAAACATTTTCTTTATCGTGCCAACGTTTCGATCTTTATTGAGATCATCTTCAGGGCCTNTCTCTCGTCCGATAACTTCAAAATAGCTTTCAAAAATTATAAAACAATCCAAACACTTTTTTCCAAAATTAAAGATCCCACACCAATAACAAATAAATCTGACGTAATCTACAAGATTAGCTGTTTAAAATGTCCGGCAACTTACATCGGTCTTACATCCCAATATCTGGACAAGAGAGTAAAGCAACATATCTATGATTGCATAAAACCCAACCAAAATCCTACAGCACTCGCTACCCACCATTTTGAACACCAACACAATTTCGACTTCAAAAATCCAAAAATATTACATACAGAATCTCACTGGCACTCTCAAAACGACACGCAAGAGTGGCACAATTACACAGAAGACAAACACTTTGAGTGAGTAGAAATACCTTGATTGAATATAAAAAATATATTTTCCATCGTATAAATTCACTTTTCCACACCCTAAATGTATTTGTTAAATGTAAACAATGTTGTAAATCCCAGGCCCTGAAGATGATCTCAATAAAGATCGAAACGTTGGCACGATAAAGAAAATGTTTTTCTAAAACCTACATCACACCAGACCGCATCTCACGATTTCTGAATAATTAATATATAATGTGTATAGTATATTGTTTTAATAAACGAATATCGAATATTCTGAATTGATTTAAGTTGTATTGTAGAAGAATTAGGCAGAAGAGTTAGGATGGATATAGAGATTGGTGTGGATCTGTTAGAACGGATCAGATAAAAGGAATGTTATGATCATTGAGCAGTGAGGTTAGTACCGCAGTAAAGAGCTTGGAAAATTTGTCTGATAACTTTTGGTTGAATGGATTGTATGCCCTGGACATTGGATGGCTTAGTAAAACCCGTCAGTTCTACCCTATGTCCAAAATGGTCACAGTAATAACTTGTATAGGGTTAGGTGAGTTTTGTCCGTCAAAACAGTTTTCCTGCTAAAAGACGTTATAGTTGTCCAAGTCTTCCATTAAGTTGTCTTTTAAATCAGGTTATAGCTTCAAGTATCTGACTTGAGTGTAAGTCTACAATTCCTTGTTGTTGAAGTAAATCAGAGGCTATTTTTTTTTTTCGATGTAAATCTATACTGTGTACATTTTCCTCATTCTGTCTTGGCCTACACCTAGGTGAAAATTATGATGTTGGCATGTATTGTAAAGTCATCGGTATAAATGGTAAACAGAATGGGACCAAGAATTCTCGCTTATGAGACGCCGGCTTGTATTGGTCCAATGCCCATCTAGCTTTCACCTTACTAACAAACTCACCAATTTACAAGACCCTCCTGAAACCGACATGAAATTGAAGTTTGTGAATCCACGAAAAAATTCAATTCCAACAAAATCCAACTCATCCAATCATAAAATACTAAGAAAAGTATTAAACTTTCCTTTTTACCGTTTCAACTAACAATCCACAATGACCTCCAGATCCCCCATTTGTCATTCACATTATTAAATCCCGATAGAAAAACTGCCACAAAAATTTAAAATTTCGTCCCAATCCACTTGTCCAACAGTTTTCTTGTCCTAACCAGGATATCCCTCATGTCCTTGACGCGTTTGTGGCCGAGAGATCTCTTGAGAGATAGATTGACTCGATGTGAGGGATACTGTTGGGTGTTTTCGCCTGCTAGATTACATGATAGATTGTCACTGTGTCTTTTATCTCATTTGCTTGCTGTGACTAAAAATTACAGTCTTAAAAATCATAATAAATAAATTTACAAAATTATATGGTTAAACTTCATAGAAAATATCAAAATTTTTATCACAAAGAAAGATATTTAAAATCCTATCGGAAACTTAAATACCCTAGATTTTTAAAACACAAACCAATTTAAATCAAATCACTAAATACAAAAATTAAAATTTTAAATATAAACATCAACTTCATTGATTTTGCATTAGACTACTCCCTATTTTAAATCCAACATTATTTCCATTAAAATTTACCCTGGGGGGGGGGGAGAAAAAAGAGTTGAGAACGCAAAATGTACGTGCTGACCTCTTCTAAGACTAAAAAAAGATTGATCAATAGTAACGATTTTTAAACACAACCCCCTCCTGTATGTAAACCGCGTAGGACATTAAACTCAAGCCCCCGTCCAGGAATGGAAAGTCGAATCAAATGTTAAAACGAACGGATTTCCACGTTTTTCCTTGTAAATTGTATGCTAAAATAGTTGTTACTGTATTTTCTTTTGTGATTATAATACAATAATTGAATGTTAAAATGAGACGAGAGAAATGTCTCAACCGTATGGAAATGTTTCTATAATCAAAACTTGAGATTGGCAGGTAAACATAAATAGCCATGGTGGTTTTGATCCAGTTAGCGCCTGGAGAATCTGTTAACGCCTTCAAAACCGTTGTGCATTGTGGGTCCCACTGTTGCCTAAGCCCTTCCAATTATTATTTTCTCCAACCTGCCTAAACCGGTTTGTCAGTTTTGAATGTGCGTGCTAATTAATTTTTTTTTATTGGCTTTCCGTCAGCTGAACTGGAGTTTATTTGGAATTTTATAACTTTGCAATCGGATCGGAAGACGATCGTCGTTCTTTCGCTTGACAGTGGCTTGCAGGGGTAGATTTGTTGATTACAGTAAAAGCTCAATTTAAAATTTGAAAGTAATCCATCCAAGCAAAGTTTAAAAGATCTTTTTGAAATATTAACATTTATTTTTGGAAGTTATAATAAGAATCAAATCTAATTCGAGTAGTTTTGGGGTTCCAAAATTGTTCTGACCATTTATTTTCGACAGATTTGAAGAGAATAAAGAATGTGGCAAAGTTTCTCATCCAAAATAGAGCGAATCTGAGATTCAACATTGGCCTTTAGGTATAAGCAAGCTGTTGATATATTGAGGAAAAAAGGCATAATTTAAAATTTGAAAATACCAGATCCATTGGGAACATTTAAATAAAAATAACATAGAAAATAATTATTCTTTTTAATTATTCAAAAATCGTGAGATGCGGTCTTGTGTGATGTAGGTTTAAGAAAAACATTTTCTTTATCGTGCCAACGTTTCGATCTTTATTGAGATCATCTTCAGGGTTCAAAGTTTTGTCTTCTTGCGTGTTGTGTTGAGAGTGCCGCAAGAATGGCACAATTACACAGAAGACAAAACGTTGAGCCCTGAAGATGATCTCAATAAAGATCGAAACGTTGGCACGATAAAGAAAATGTTTTTCTGAAACCTACATCACAGTAGACTGCATCTCACGATTTTTGAATAATTATCGATTAACGGTCACTAATCACCACACATTCTTTTTTATGTAAGGTTTGGTTGAGATAAAAAAGTCTTTTACTTATTAAGTATCCCTTCACTCCCAGCTCCCCGTGGCCACTTCATAAGTCGCTGAGAATCGAATCCTGATTTGAAAATGGCAAAAATAGGGAAAATTCGTTGTAGGTTGACATGGAGAGTTAGTATCCGAGGGGATCTAAGTGACGATGGCTCAAGTGATAGAGCAGCGGCGTATTTAGCCGAAGGTCGTAGGTTCGAATCCCGCTCGTGACACTAACATTTTTATCTCAACCAAGACCTTACATAAAAATATTAATTAATTGAAAGAAGTAACTTGGTCAATTGATCACTAAAACATAAATGGATTAATAGAAAATAATTTTAAACGTTGAAATTAACCCTCTTACTCTAATCACACTATCCCAAAGAGAAGCAAATCAAAAATACCTATTTGAAACCTCAGCATTTGTTTTTGGAAGTCATAGAAAGATTCAAATCTAATTCAAATAGTTTTCGGACAGTTTGAGCGCTTAAGTAAGGCTGAATTAGAGTTTATAATTATTTTTATATAAAAAAACATTTACATTACACCCTAGAATAGGTCGCATTACAATCAAACTGATAATAAAAATGCTGGAGCGTAAACAAACAAGATTAATTTTCCAAAACGAACCGGTAATCTTTTACTAAAACATCATATTAAAATTCGACAAAACAATTTTAGCCGTTTAAAAACCTCTATTTTACTTTATCTTTTATATATGGGTGAATATTTTCCTTTTGCCGCAGTTTTTAAGGTATATTTTTGTATTAAAGTAAAATTCATATTTTTTTCTGCCCACATGGAACCACACATTATTTTATTATTACTTCAAGAGTCCGCTAATTTATGCTTTACAAAGACAGTAAATTTTGAAAAGATTTAAAAATTGACGTTAAAAAAATAAATTTACCATGCAAGACCATTATTGGACCAATTCAGATTGCGGACAACTAAGTCCTTGGAAAAGTACTCAAGAAGCTTCTCCTTATCAAACTGCAAACCATAACCGTCAAACCTTATTTCTGACCGCCGTTCGACTCCAACACCGGGTGTCTTCTTTTCAAGAATTTGACCGGGTATGGCATTTGGCCCTACTGTGGAAACTTAAGAGAATACCTCTTCCAATAACCTCATCCTTTTACCTTTTATATAGCACAAGGTTCATCTACTTCTACTAATTAGCCTATCAACACTTGCGTTCCTCAAGGAAATGTATTAACACCACTGTTCAATACCCTATACCATTTTCCACGCAATGCCTAACTACTCAACAACTCTGCCTTCCTTTTCCCAGGATTGCCATAATCTTTGCTTTCGCTATTCACTGCTAGTCTATTCCCCAGCCCTAATCCTCTCAAGACCTCTACAATAACTCCTACACAGCCTGGAACTTCCCGGTTGGAGAATCAGTCGCCACTGTTGATGATGGATTTGTGCCTAATCAAGAAGTTAAACTCGACTGAAACGTACAGAATGTATCCAGCGATGCAAAATGGTCAAACAGTTGTCTCTACAGTATAACAAAACAGTACTTCTACAGTAAAACACAAATTTGTACTTCACTATTTGCACCCGATCGCAAAGAACTCCAACCGATATCGACTTAAGTCCATTTAACCCCAACATCCTCCTTATAAAGGAAGCCATACCATTTACACCTACCTAAACATCCCCTATCTCCTAGATGTTTCTAAACCCTTTACTAAACTTTACGTACATATTTCAAATTCTCCTAGTTCTAAATCATTAATAATAATAATAATAATAATAATAATAATAATGCTTTATTAAACATAAAAAAAGGAAAAAAGACAATTTAGATTTTAAAGCATTTAAGGCCATAGATCTTGGATCCGTCTGCCAGAGGTCGTTGATTAAACAGTCAAAAACGAAAAAATACACAATAAAATAAAAGTTATAGCCTACGCAATAAAAAGAAAAAAAAGGAGAAACAACAACTGCCAAAATGCGAAAGAGAACAAAAAACAGGTTATTCAAAAGAAATCAAAAATTAAACTCATTAATTAATTCATATCTGTAATTCCATGCATGCCTAGCGTAACGAATTAAGGGCCGCGAATTTGAGCCACTCAAAAACCGTAACAGGTCAACCCTGGGGAGAGTGAAACATCCGAGATGCAACAACCGAATCTCACCCAGGGTTGAGCACTCCGCCAAGAAGTGGGATACAGTTTCAATAGAGCGCGAATTACACAAAGAACAGATCCCTAATTCCCCTCTGATCCAAACAGCCGAGTTTAAGTGCAAAACCTCACTTCTTAGCTTAAATAGCCATCGCAACCCATTGAGACAAAGACCGTCCAAATTATCTTCATGTAGGTCGAACAATGCAGGAGAAATTGTGTACCTCCTTATAAAGTGTGAGATGCGTAGATGGTTGGACACGTGACCGGCATTCTTCGTGTTGTTTATTAATTTGATCAATAAGAATTGAAAAATGATTATACCAGTCATAGAGGTTGTCTAAGGATATGAGGAAGGGAAAGTTGTACTTTTCAAATAAATATTTCCAGTGAGCGAACCATGAAATATTAGTCTTTATGACCGCCAACGATGTTATTTTTGTGTATCTGGTATCGGGAGACGTCAGAACTTTCACAATATAGGAGTAGTGAAACTTAAGTGTATACACCAAAATTAAATCCAAGTTGGTTTCTAAATATAATATATAGTTTGGTGTACCAGATGGCAATGTGAACAAATTTCTTACAAAAAAACGTTGCACTTTTTCTATTGCTTCAAACCTCTGGTATCCACACATTTGACAGCTATAGCACAGAATTGCACGACTTATCGCCTTAAAAATATTATACTTCACTTTAATAGGGATAGTCTAAATCATTAATATATAATCTACTCTATCTTCTCTTTCTACAAACCTTCCCAGACAAGTGAAAAAACGCTGTGCCAGGGATGAGCGTTTAAAATACCAAAATATTTACCCGACACAGTAAATGACTAACGACGGTAGTCCTGGCGATCATCTTTCACGCTTGTCACGTTACGAAACAAAATTCAGCAGATTTACATATTATTTTTGTTATATAAAGTTGCAAATAAATATTTCCACAATCACGACGATGATAGAAAGTCTTACTTGGAGTGCTCGTCCTGCTACGTACTGCATTCTTCGCGGCCCTTCTTCGAATTCATAAACTTTAAAGCTCAACTCATAAACTACTTCGCACCCTTATTAAACAATTGTAGCTTTAGTTTCAAATAAGTGCCACGATTCTATTCAAATACTGCATAACAACTTGACATTTGAGCAAAACCTCGTCTAGAAATCATAAAGTGGGGTGAGTATGTAGATTCACTTTTTGTAAATAATGGTTGTTGTTTACAACGATCCGGATTTCAAGCATTAAACGTTCATCATCGGGTTGAAGGAGTTACAAACACGTCCTCTCGACGAGAATATTATGATAATATGAATTCATGCCGAGAGACGTGTTTGTAATGATGAGCGGTTAAGGCTTGAAATCCAGATCGTTGAAAACAACAAGTCTTTGAATTGAACCATCGTTACAAAAAGTGAAAAAAAAAATAATAGAGAATTCGTCTAATTCTGATCTCAAAAGTTCAGCCAAATTAAACTCTGCTTTCCTTAACCATAAATCTCATAAACTACACGAAAAAATTATTATCGAACGAATGACATAAATTACAGAATGATTTAGCCAAATCGAGCTTTCTCAGTAAGACTTGATTTTAAAGTTGACTGTAAAAAAAATCTATGCATCATTGTACATGTTGATTATCAGAACCTTGTAGAAATCGTATTTTTTATAAGGATATACAATTTACATTTTTTATGTGTTAAATTGTAATAATAATGATACAGATAATGAAGTGGATATAAAATGGAAAGAAAATAACGGTAGAGTTTGTTAACGCGACTTACAGATCTGTTGGTTTATTTGTAGGACAGTAGCAGGTAAATTTTTAAAGATGTATCATCAATTTTTTTTTTAAATCGGGGCCACCGGTTCATTTTTTGTACATTATAAAAACAAGATTACTGATAAGAAAGTCGACCTTGAAAGGTTGATAAAGCCGGCGTTGCCAAGTTAGCCCGGGAGAAAATCCCGGTGGAATGCAAGGAGGAGGCGGTGTGGACAAGCAGGATCCCTTTGGCTCGTACCAAACTGGCCGGGGAGGCCTTGGATGCTATGCGGAACTCCTCTCTCTCTCCAGAGGGAACGAGAGGGGAAATACGCGATGGAACGAGTGGACGGGAAGTCGGTGAAATGTATTGACTCTGAACAAGGACGTCAGTGATTTTGGAACCGTTTCACATTGGACGCAGCTTATCCCAGTCGTAAACCGGAAGCGAAAAGACATGCCCTTGGAGTTAAGTAATTCGTTCAATTATCATTTGGATGATTTTACCCTGAAATGAATAATCGAGCAAAATCTTAGAATTTAATAACCAATCTGCGTTGAAAACTACATATTTAACAACCCTTTCATTGCCCAGTTTCCTCAACTTGGATTTTCCAAATATTTGATTTTTCTAACATTTTCAAAAGGATTGTAGCTCTTAATGAATAAGTAGACAATCACATTTTAGTCTCGTTTTATACGGGACACGAAGTGGACTTTGTGAAAAAAGTTCTGAAGACAGCAGTACAATTTTCTTAAGGAAAGACCAACACCTCGGAAGATTTTCAACGCCAATCTTAAGAAACCTGAAGAAAAACCATCATAAAACTAGCATTTCTTGACAATGTTAGACGAACAGTTTCCAGACCCTTAAAATGAAATTGGTAAAGCCCTGCTTACATAGAATCGTAGACGTTAGATATCGATCATCCCCCTTGTCACACACCTTATTAACGACAGTATGATGGACTGTAGTTAAGGTCATCTGTTATTTCTTCTAAACGTAATGCTAGAAGGAAGCGTCAATAAACAGTCGGAACTTGTGAACATAAAGGTCTTGCCGAATGACAACTTGTGAAAATGAACAAATTAAAGGAGCTTGATTTGCGCATCTTTTTCTACTGGTCCGTATCCTATAGACCACCAACTTTATTCAAGGAAAAAGGTGCGCAAACGGATCTGATAAAAAAAGCCTTTTGTAATTCTGTTTCATCTCGTTCGTAGTTAGATTTCTATCAGTTCCCTGTGACATGCCAAAAATGGAGAAGCAATGGCGAGTTGTGGTCCATTGTTCTTTTCTACTGACGGAAGAGCTGTTCTGGCACTTTTAATTTTAAAAAAGGTCTTATTCTATCTATACCCTACAAACTACAGTTTTTCTCGCAACTTAGCAAACTTAATACAATGAAAAGGCTTAAAAATAAATCGGAAATTCAAAATAGCCTTTACTCTAAGAAAGGTGATGTTGCAAGGGCATTTCCAGGCCGAGTACAAAACTATGAAATCCAAATTAGAAACTGCCAGTTTCTTTCGATCTTTGATTCGTAAATGTGTCTGGAATAAACAAAACTATTCTGATTGAGTTTTATCTCGGGAGACATTTTTTAGGTCAGTAGTTAGATTTTTATCAGTCATCAGGTGACATACCAAGACTGGAGAATCTTCGATGGCTGTGTGGCTTGTGGTTGTGGTCGTCAATTTTTCTTTATGAGCTGTACATATTTTGTAGCTGAGCTTTGTAGCTGTACATGTATGTACTAGCAAAAATGGACCCATTGCGTCAAACCAGCACCTTCCGGCAATGTTGATCAAAAAGGTGTTATTCTCCTGATCTAATTGATTTAATTTAGATGTCGATCAGCCGTCAGGTCATAAGCCAAAGCATAATTGTATGTTGGCTGAAGATAGTGTTCTCATTTGCTTTACTAAACAAAGGAAAGGAATAATAAAATCGACGACGTACTATGAAGCATTAAAAGTTTGCATGCATTAAAATGTAACCAAATACCAGCAGATTCGGGTAATGGAATGATCCTGTTTCATGGTTCGAATTTAGCCAACTTTATTCTTAGAAAAACGTTTGCGATTATATCTGTGATGAAAAAGAGCCTTGTTTCATCTCGTGATTGGACTATTTTTTTCAGTTAGAGGTTCGACCAGCATCCAGGTCACATTCCAAAGAAAAATTTTATGTTGGCTGCGTGGTAGATTGAAGGTAATGTCGTTTTTCTTCACTACCGAGGAGAGAAACAATAAAATCGACAACGCACTACCAAACATTAAAAAATCGACAAAATCAATCAAACTGATTTTTTAAAAACTATCAAATTCGGTTTATTAAAAAAGGTCCTGTTTAAATTAAGGCTATGAACTAAGCAAAAAAGTTTGGCTATGAAATTCTTTTTCAATACTTTTGCTTTCCTGATCTTGTACCCTTCTACACCGGTTTTTTCGCAACTTTGCCAACTTAATTCGAGAAAAAATCTTTCCAGATTAAACTCAGATCAGAATAACACCATTTTGCCAATTATGTATTTCTTTGTTTGACATCCAAAGCTCTAAGATCCAATAGTAGATTGTTGTAATTATAAGTGTGAATTTACTATACGGCATGTAGTATACGGCAATTACCAAGATGTTAAGGATTTGTTGAAAGTGTAAGACATTGACTTTCATTCGTCAATTGATCAAAAAAAAAACTCTCTAAGGAACTATAATTTCGTTGATGAGACGGCAAAAATTGTTGTATCTAGTTGGGAAATGCCACATCATCCACCTAAACGGCGGATGTAGAATGATTATCTACTTATTATAGGCAATGCAGACTTACCTAAACAAGAGCGTTTACATAAAGTTGGTATAACCCCAAATGACCCATCAAGTTACCGACCCATCAGTTTGCTTAGTGCTCTAAGTAAAATTTTTGAAAAAGCCGTAGATCGCCGGATCTGAGAATTCTTAGACAATGAAAGACTACTCATGATTGAGCAGTTTGGCTTTAGGTCTTCTCTTTCAACATAAGCTCAAATATGCAGACTCGTTGATCACATATCTTGGAACTTCAACCTTAAAAAATATATTGGCGCCTTGTCCCTAGACATCAACAAAGCATTAGACACAGTCTGGCACATTGCATTAATATTCAAACGTATCAAGATGGGCTTTCCTCAATACTTAGTCAAGATCATCACTCATACCTCACCCTACGAAAGTTTGTAATATCAATTCAAGGCGTAGAATCACGTGTTGGTGCTGGAAACCCACAAGGCTCTGTTCTGGGACCTCTCTGTACCTCATTTATATTAATGATATGCCCAAAACCCCTGGCTTTGAACTGGCCCTGTTCGCGGGTGACACTGCGCTTTACACATCATCATGGAGGGTGAGGGCCATAATGAACCGATTGAGCAGGGCAGCGGACAGGACTATCGAGTACTTTACGAGGTGGAAAATAAGTGTGATGAGGAGTAAGTCTGAAGCCATACTCTTTACGAAAAGACGCCCAACTGTAGAGCTTAAAGTTCTCCTTAATGGAGAAGAAATTAGCTGGTCTCTCTGGACACTCGCTCTACATATCATCATGGAGGGTGAGGGCCATAGAGAACCGACTTAGCAGGGCAGCAAACGTGACCATCGGGTACTTTACGAGGTGAAAAATAAGTGTGAACAGGAGTTAGTCTGAAGCCATACTCCTCACGAAAAGACGCCCAACTGTAGACCTTAAAGTTCACCTTAATGGTAAAGAAATTAATTGGTCTCCCTCAGTAAGGTACCTCGGCGTTCGGCTAGATGCTAAATTAACGTTTACAGCCCATATCAATGAACTAATACAAAAAGGAAAAAACATGTAAAAATACTTTTTCCCCTCTTGTGTCGAGAGTCCCAGTTGAGCGTTTATAACAAGGTTTTTAGTTGACATAAAAAGTCAGTGTCACGAGCGGGATTCGAACCAACGACCTTCGGCTAGATACACCGCTACTCTACCACTTGAGATGGGAAGTTAATGTCCGAGTGGATCGAAGTCATGAGAGCTCAAGTGGTAGAGTAGCGGCGAATCTAGCCGAAGGTCGTGGGTTCGAATCCCGCTCGTGACACTGACTTTTTTATCTCAACTAAAAACCTTAATTAATTGAAAGATATTAATTGGTCAAGTGGACCACGAAAACTAGTGAAGTTTATAACAAGTTGCTCATCTACAAAACCATAGTAAGGCCAGTGTTGACATATTCATGCGCTCGTTGGGGTACTTGTAACACCAATTATAACAATCTGCAAAGAACTCAAAATAAGTTCCTAAGGTTACAGCCCATTAGCAACCAAGATAGATGAACTCCACACAAACTCCGGAGTATGATTTCTGCACGAGTTCATAGAAACCAATTGACAAAAATTTTTTGATAGATGTTCTG